AGTAAACTGTAAGCAGACAGGCTGAGATTACTGCTGTATCGCATGTAAGAGAGATCAGCAACTAGCAGCTATCTATGTATCAAGTCTAACTATGAGCTAAACTCGATTGTTTAAATGTGGGTGTAAATGCAATCAAAATAAAAATAGGACTTCAGCAGTTAACAACCCGAAGCCACATTTTACGGGCATTTGCTGCTTTTTACTATCATCAGTAAAGAATCTTGAAGAAACCCCTCATTTCCTGAGAGATTCAACCCTGAGAAGGCTGAAGCTGTTGGGAAAGAATTCCTTAGCTTATCTGGCATATGTGTGTGTAAATATCAGCAGCTGATTGCATCTTGCAAGACGACACACCCACAAACAGGGAATAATACGCAATTCTCTGAGCTGTAGTCAGAGAACCCAAATTGCAGCAAACGCAGCACAGCAAGAGAGTCAGTCTAATAGACGGGGTTGTTACCAAAAAGCAAACTGATACAGCGCAAGAGTTTACTTATTTAGGAAATAACATTCAATATGCTAAGGAGCAGTAGCATCGCAGGAAAAACAAGGTTTTCGAAATCTAAAAAATAGGCTTAAGGGATTTGAACAGAAGCAATATGGTCTAAATTAAGTTAGTAAGTCCTTTCAGCACTCGGTTCTAGTTTGTAGCAAGGTCAGTGCAGACGTCATTTTTCAAACCGAAATCCAGGCAGCAACTCCAGAAGAACAGAAACGTACCAGTTCTCATGTAGGAAGGGAGATCATGCACTAAAGCTCACGTATGCGCCGCTGTACTTACAGCACCAGCAGTAGGTGGAGCATACTTGAAGACCTCATGAAAAAGCCTGGTAACATTTTGGAGGGACAAAGTACATGTCCTTCATTCCTACCTGAGACAAACCAACTTGATCCTGGGATGCCTACGTTCGGAGCGTAGCCTATAAAAATTAAATCCATTTAAACGATGCCAAGAAAGTACTGGATCATTAAATTGCGTTAGGTACTGCATACTGTGAATAATTTAAGGTTTAAGAAAGTCTGTCAGCGTCCCATCTGTTGATAGCTTTGTCTCTTATCTTCCCTTCAACGTTAGCGAAGATGGTGGAAATTTAAACTTATGTAATGTAAGATCCTTGAGTTTTTCATTGTTTTATACTAGTGTCAACCACAAGAGAAAACCCAGTATGTGTTACATTCTCTTCTTGCCATTAATTCTGAAACAAACTCAAGTGTGCTTATGAAATGCAAATTGTATCAGCCACAAAAGCCTATAAATCCAAAGTAATAGTTTGTTTTGCTTTCATTTCCATAGATAGATAGGAAGCTGATTTACCTGGAACCTAATAGCACTGATAGTAATAAATTCAGTGGGTATTTCTGCACCTGATTTACAAAAGATTTTACAACTTTCACAGAAGGCTTCATCTAATAAAACGATAAAAATAAAACCCCCTTTTGTTTCACTATTTTAAGACGTCTACTCTTAGTCATTCACTAGCTATGTTCCAAGGGTAAGAGGCAACAGAGTCTCAGAATACTTTCTGCCTTACTTGAACGCAAAAAGTGCAAAGAAACTGGACAATCAGTAAAACACACCAGAAGGGTACGATAACTAATGTGCTGCTTTGCCTTTAATCAAAACTGGTAAGGGGAAAAAAAAAAAAATCTTTACCAAACTTAATGCAGATCAAAGAACAATCCTGCACTACTTTGCACTAGTGAGAAAACAGACGTGCATGGAATTCCAGTGCAGTCTGTTTATACGTGTAGAAAAAACTGCATTTTTTGGAAAGGTAGTTAAAAAAAAAAGTTTCCACAGCAATTTCACTACGAAAGAACGGGGAGTTGCTCCCAAGAAAAGTTAAGCAATGACCTTCTGTCTGCCACACCACTCCAATTCTAAGTCTCGTCCACGTGGACTTTAGCTGAAAGGTGAGGGTTTTACTGCCACTCTGAAGATACTAACAGGCATTTACTTACAGCTTTCCGTGTTCCTGCTTGCAGAGCTGACTTGGTTGTGCTCATTTGTTGAGATTTTTAAAATAAAACGTAAGCATTACCCATTATATCAGATGCTAGAGACATACTTTAGCGCCTTTTCTTTTGCTTTCACTCAACACTGTCAAGAAGAGTCACAATCTGTGCAGCAGCGAGCCAGAACAGTAAAGAACTTTTAAAGTAATTTCAATACGCTCGGGATTATTCCGCTTTGCAACTGACAGTTAAATGGACCTGAAATTAAACACGTCCCTCAGAATATACCGTAAGATAACTAAGCTTATCAAAGGTAAAAAGGAAGCAGCGGTAGCTCCTTTCCTCTATGCACGCTATAAATTGCTACAGATAGGTAGTAACTAACTGTCCCACTGGTGCACTTCACGCTTTAATCCTAGTAGCTTTGAGAAGATACTGGACAATACAACAGCATAGGCAGCAATACAAAACAGTGCACCCGCTTGAATTTTAAAGCGCGACTGCAAACAAGAACTAGCAAGAAATGTCAAGGCAGAACCCAAATATTAACATCCACATTTGTCAAACATTCTCCTTTTAAGGCTTTTTTTTTAAAGGGCAATGAAAAACAATGGAGGAAGTGCTAGTGGACAAATGCAAGACCTACTGCATTGAATTCTCTTTCCCGATACCACAGCAAAGTAAAAATGTCCTTTCTTAAATAAATGGCTAATGTTAAGACGATGCCAGGCTTTAATACACCGTTTATTTTAGATCAGGTAGTGAACTGCACAGATGTACGTTTTCTTTTTTCGTATATAACAGAGTGTAGTTGACTTACCAGATCCTCAAACTCTTTAGAGCTAGAGATCCACTGCATTAGGCTTCTAGTACTTTTGAGGATCTGGGCCTAAGTAGAATTTGTCTAATCACTCCCTCTGATGGTGGTCATCAAACGTTTTATACAGATTTTCTTTTTTTCGACACCGAATGGAGTAAGAGCAGTTTACATTACAGTAAGTCAGCATACGTTAGTTATGCTGCAGCACTTGCCATCTGTAAAACATAAAAGAAGTGTCTGACCATACCAGTTAGCTTCTAAAGCTCATTACAAATGCCATTTTCAAAGTCCCCTTCAAAAGTATAGTCTTGATCTTCAGCCCATTCTAGCCTACATAAAATCGCTGCAGAGCAGCGCAACAAGGTTTTAAGATTCACAGTTCTTTTGGGGACGCAAGTCGAACCATTCCAAGTACAAGCAGCAGCAGAGAAGAGTCTTGCGCAACTTGTGCGCTTGCGCAGCCCTGTTGCTCCCTAACTGTAAGTATCAGACTGCTGAGAGTTCTTACAGGTTCTTAGCTAGATTTTCTTAACAAGACTGGAGAGCTGGAAATCAGATAACCTTGGCAGGCAAATCTCAGTCCAAGCCAGCCAGTCACGAGTGCGCAAGTGAGATGGTGAGTCAGTGTATTCCTCTAAAAACATTTGAAGTACTTAGCCAAGTTCCTGTCAAAGACCAGAAGACAAACCTGAGGTAAAGGTAGACAAGCTTAATTAGGTGAGAATAATTACTGAATTTAGAAGACTGCAAACAACCAGTTGTATATTCATACGGAAAAAATGCTAGATTGCGGGATTTTTTTGAAGCGTTTATCTACTGTCACAAGGTACCAGCACATCTTTTAAATGAAATCTGTGCACAGTTCGAACAGCCCAATTATCAGATTTCAGCAAGTGAAGCTTTTTACTTTCACTGCCTGAAGCCAGCTACTTCTGTAGTATTTTATTGATCCAACCTGATGGATTTTATGTTCCTTACCTGTAGAACTACTTACCTCATCATGCCTCAAAATAATAAAAACAAGAGTTGTCTTAGCAGATCAACTTCCGATAAGAAAGTTAAGACAGCGCACAGTAAATAAACTGTATTTTAATGTGTTACAGAAGTAGTTAAGAGCCAGGCTACCTCTCCAAACAGATGCCCACTACGACTAGGTTCGACAAAGATTTCTTTCAAATAGCTTGAGAAGAAACGGCTTCGCACCTTACTCTTTTCTGTCTCTCTCCCTTTTGTAACACAAATACCATACACATTCATGGTGAAGTTTTTCACATACAGACAGGCTGCATAAGGCCCAGTGTCCCTCAAAAGCCTTCATGGCTGGCGAATCACACCTGTAAGAGATTATTTGCATTGTAACATGTATCATGTCACTAAAATGATATACAAAATCAGTTCCAGACAGTTGCTTTAGTAACAACCAAAAGAGGTGAAGACGAGAAACTGAGCGAGAGCATCAATGTGTCAAACTTTGAGCTAAAGCAAAAAGCAAAAGTTGGTTTTTTAATTTGCCAGGTATTCTTTTAATGACAAATATAAAAAGACTGAAAACATCTCATTCTGACTGCCTTTTTTTTTTTTTTAAAAACAAATGGTCTGTTTTTATAATTACAAATACTGCGTAAGACAACACCTTCTTTGTCCTGAAAAACCAACAAATACAAGGATGCAATCAAGTTTCTAAGCGTCTCTAAATTTGAAACGTGAATTATTGTTTTAATTTGGAAAATTCTTAATAATTGTTCGGTTTTTTTAGAAGGTAACTCAAAGTACAACAACATCTAGACCTGTTTTTAAAGGAGCTTTCTTTCCTGATGCATCTTTGAACATAATTACTCCTTTCGAGTTCAGTACATTCACAAAATAGCTCAATTAAGAACAGTATCACCAATGAATTGACTACTGGAAAGAGACAAAATTTACCAAACATACAGAAATATAAGTTTTACCATAGCAATTATGCATATCAAAAGATGACACCTGTAATTAATTTTAAAAAGATACAAAAAAAAGAGAAAAACCTGAATTACAGAAAAGAAAGTCATATTTATTTAATGAAAAACTAGAAGTTAATAAAAATTAGCAAATACACAAAAAATATACACAAACAGCACCAATACTATGTA